TAGCCTCTGCGTGCCAAATTATCCATTAAAAACCCTAGCTTCTGAGTTATTGGGGAGACAAATTTGAGCATTCTTCCCCTTAACTGCCTTGCAATAATTAAACTCTTTCTCTACTGCAATAATGCTGTCAGAGAACAGGGTTTATCTGTGAAGCAGGTAAGAAGAACACATCAGGAAATTACAATAATGATAGTAACTGGCCGTTTCTATGTACTGTGAATTCTGTTACTAATAAGTATTTTACAAGCTGTATTACTTCACATGATAAGACCTGTACCGTTTACCACAAATAAAATAGATGAAGACAAATATATTACTCAATAAGAGATTAATTTGTGAGTTTTTTAAAACTCTACTAGCTCCAAATATTTTATTTCTTATGATTCTGAAACAGACTTTATTGGTCTTATATGTAGTGGAATGACCACATCATGCCAACTCTAGTAGTCAGATATACTTTGACACATCTAAATAAGAGTGAAGAAAGTTCTGCCAGGCCATAAAGTCCTTTCTTCAGTGGAAAATTGAGGAGAGAGGATTACTCTGAATAAAGAGAAAGTGGAGCCTAGAAACGTTTATTGGAACAGTAGCGAGAAAAGATTAGTCTGAAAACAAACATTTTTATTCCCAATCTTCTCCAGTTCAGACTGAAAGAATATACTTCTTAGAGCTCGACTCTAAGAAAATGTATATGAAGAACTCTAATCTCTGATATATACTCTACAAGTGACATTGACAAAGTAAGACAATACCATTGACAATGCTGAAGTGTTGCCAATGAGAAGGGCTGCTGTAGAAGTTATGATAACATCTTCGGTAACAAAAATATAAATTTTGTGTTGGTGAGGGAGGCTTAAAACAGATTGTGAATCAAGCCTCTCTGCATATATGGACCCGTGAGGAAAACCTATTTTTCTTGAAGGCACCTATATTATAGCACTGTAGAGTTCAAGGATATTTTTCTCCTTGTTAGATTGTCTATGACTAACACATTTTTCACTGGAACATCTCAAGTTGTTTCTGTTTTTAAGTGGAAAGATCCCAGGTGCAGTAAGAGAGAATCTTCAAAAATCTACAGAAAATATTTTAGTCAGAATTATTTCTTCCATAAGAGAAAAAGATTATAAACCACATCAAGTCATTGGGTAACTTGTAGAATGGCTGTCACTGGAGCATCTCAATAAGAGTTGATGAGTAAGAAAGGCAACCTTCACCAAGGTCTTTTCCTGGAATATGTATACTAACAGTCTATGAAGCTTTTAACTTTATTTTATCTGAGAATATAATAGTGATTGATTGATTGACTGATTGATTGATTTGAGACAGAGTCTTGCTCTATCGCCCAGGCTGGAGTTCAGTGGTGCAATCTCAGATCACTGCAAGCACCGCCTCCCAGGTTCAGGCCATTCTGCTCCCTCAGCCTCCCCAGTAGCTGGGACTATAGGCTCCCACCACTATGCCCGGCTAATTTTTTGTATTTTTAGTAAACACAAGGTTTCACTGTGTTAGCCAGGATAGTCTCAATCTCCTGACCTCGTGATCTGCCCACCTTGGCCTCCCAAAGTGCTGGAATTACAGGTGTGAGTCACTGCGCTTGGCCAATCGTTCTATATTTAAAAATTTATGTAATTCATATTAAAATTTTTATGTGAAACATGTTTTACATAGTATTCTTACAACTCCTAAAGTATTATAGTTTCTGTTTAGCTGCTGCTATCTCTCTACCCTTCATTAATAAAACACACACAAATACTTTCTTTTATTTTTATAGCCTTTACATTTTTAGAAAAATCTAAAAATTACTTACTACTTAATTACTTCACCTATAAAAATAAATTTATCATTTAATGAGATGCAATTTAAGGTATATTCGTTATTCATTTTGTTTTCTCGTTTGTTCTGTTTTATTTCCTCTTCTCTTTTAATACTGCTTCATAATTCTGTCACCCTTTTGCTCACAGGGAAAAAATGTGACATTTTGAAATATCAAGTATTATGTGTTATAGCTTTGCTAAACATCTCATCATCAGTTTGTTGCAAGAGGTTTATAATTCAGATTTTCATTAAGAAAGAAAGAATCAACACCATATGTTGTGCTAAATCCTATGCAGCTGCTGCTACAGCAGCTTAATAACATGTAAACTGGAAGGCATTCAGTACTTTGTATAATATACAGGACTGTAACTTCTCTCAAATGTTGTGATATTTTTAAATATTAAGATTAAAGTCTAAGAAAGCATGGTAAAATAAAATAACTTAAAAGTGTTCACATTTATTTTACGGAAAAGAGAGTTATTTGAATCAGAAGCTAAATGAGTATCTATAACTGAAATTAAAATACCCAACTACTCTTGAAATTGAAGTAGAAAAGCAGACTCAAAGAGGAATGTTCTATATTAATGCATCTCTTCTAGTAATCTTAACTTTATTGCAATGTGCTGTTTGCCTAAATATCAATCTATTTGGCATTTTTATTACAGTTCCGCAAATGGAAAGAGAGCAAATGAACCATTTACTGCCTTTATTTTCTGGGTATAATCATGTTTCTGTTTTCCATTCAATGGTAGTCAACTTTTTTATTCTCTTTAACATAAAACATTCTTCAGCATTAATGATCAGTTATGGTAAGAGCTTGACCCTATGCTCATTTATATTATAATGTATACAATGCCAGAATCAGTTCTTTATAAACTTTAGTCAAGAGGTTAGAAAATAATATCCTAATGGAAAACATTATATATTTTAAATAATGTTTATGGGCCAGCCAAATATAAGACAAACACCACTGTACATATATATTTTAAATTTACTGTATTTAAAATAGCAACACTGAAGAAGATCTTTCTTTAAAGCACTATAATGTAGACTTAGTAACTTTTTAAAAATGTGCATCTTTCTATAGAAATTGCATGCATTTTCCACATTAAAAAACCTTGTAATTATGATTATTAATTTTCCTATATCAATGCAAGTTTTCATAGTCTCTGTATCATGATAAAAACAAAATAAGCTTATAAGTTAATGTGAAAAAAAAGTTTCCTTTTCATAGATTTAAGATAGTGGGCTATTTTACAAGCACAATATATAGATCAATATTCTTTCTGAATATAGATACGGAATCCTGAAAAAATTTTGCATAGTGAATCCAATAACATATAAAAACATTTTTATATGACTAAGTGGATTTTATCCAAAGAATGTGTCTTTGATTTAATTTATGAAAACTATCAATATAACACAGTATATTAATAGATCAAATTACCCAAAACATGTGATCATCTCAATAGACACAGAAAAAGCATCTGCAAAACTTTAACACTCAATAGTAATAACAGCACTCAATAAACTAGAAATAGAAGGAAAATTCTTCAGTTTGTACAATGATACCTGTAAAAAAAATTTACAGCTAATATCAAAGTTAATGATGAAAGACTGAATGCTTTATACCATAGAAGAACAAATAATTTTACAATAGAATAAAAATAATAAAATTATTCAAAAGAAACTAAAGAAGATAAAACAGAAAACTGCAAAATATTGCTTAAAGAAACTAAAGAAGATAAAATATATACGTACGTCTCATATTCATGAATATCCCATGTTTATTATTGGGTGGCAATACCATAATAGACCTACATAGGCAATGTAGTCACTATAAAATCTCAGCTTTTTTTTTTCAAGTATTGACAAGATGATCCTAAAATTTATATGAAATGCAAAGGACACAGAACAGCCAAACAATCTTTTAGAAGAAAATCAATACGGAAGGACTCACTTTCTGAACTTAATCCCAAATTGTAATAACTTAGACTATGTGGTACTGGCATAAGGGTATTCATGTAGAACAATGGAGTAGAACTGACATTCCAGAAATAAATCTTTACACTTATTATCAATTTATTTCTGCTAAGATTGCCAGGACAGATTTGGGAGATAGTAGTCTTTTCAGTAAGTTACTGAGACTATTGGATAACCACATGCAATAGACAGAGTGGACCCTTTTCTCTTCACATCATGACTAAACATAACTCAAAATTGATCATTGTTCTAAATGAAAAGAAAAGATACAACAATTTTAGAAAAAATGTAGGAATACATTTTTATGGCTTTGGATTAGGCAATGTTTTCTTAAAGATGACACCAAAAGCACTAGCAACCACAAAAATAATAGATAAATTATACTTCAAAAAAATTCAACATTTTGCTTCAAAGGGCACCATCAAGAAATTGAATATGCAATGTACAATGTTTGCAAATCTTATGTCGGATAAAATATATATACTAGAATACAAAAAGAGCCCTTAGAACTTAATAAAGGTTTACTCAATTAAAAAATATGTAAAGGATCTTAACAGGCATTTCTCCAATGAAGATAGATGAAGGGCCAATAAACACAAGCAAATATGCTCAATGTCATTAGCCATCATGGAAATGCAAATCAAAATCACAGTGATATATAACTACATACCCACTAAAATGACTATAATGAAAAACAAAAAAAAAAAGTCATAGTGGTGAGTGGTGAGATTGTAGTAAACTGGTGATAGGAATGTAAAATGGCACCGATCTTATGAAAAACATTTTGAGTTTTTCTTAAAATATTAAACATGGAATTACCATATGTTATGGTGTGAATGTTTATATTCCTTCAAAATTCATGTGTTGAAATGCTCATCCGCAAGGTGATGGTAATAGAGATAAGGTTTGGGGAGGTTATTGGTTCATGGGGTGCAACCCTCATGAATAGGATTAGTGCCCTTATTAAAGAGGCTCCAAAGAGACTACCGCCCCAGCATATGAGGTTAGAGTGAAAAGATGGCTCTCTATGATGAAGGAGGCCCTCACCAGATACCAAATCTGCTAGCATCTTGGTCTTGCCCAGGCAAGCTAATGCATGCTGGGCTCAACACCTAGGTGATGGGTTGATAGGTACAGCAAACCACCATGGCCCATGTTTACCTATGTAACAAACCTGCACATCCTGCACATGTATCCCGGAATTTAAAATTAAATTAAATTTTTAAAAATAGTTCAAAGATGAAAATGCTGCTTCCTCAAGGAAGGCTTTTCTGATTCCCATCTGGGTAGGTATCTCTGGGTAACAACGCTCTGCCCTCCTCTGTAGTGCTTGTAGGCTTTTAAATAAATCCGTGTGTTTATCTGAAAAAAAAGAAAAAGAAAAAAAAAATTTCATGCTCATGGGTTGGAAGAATCAATATGGTTAAAATAGCCATACTGCCCAAAGCAAATTACAGATTCAACACTATTCCCATCAAATAACCAATGTCATTTTTCACAGAATTAGAAAAAAAAAAAAAACTATTTTAAAATTCATACAACCCCCCTCCCCCACCCACTGCGCAAAAAAAAAAAAAAAAAAAAAAAAAAAAAAAAAGCCCAAATAGGCAAAGCAATCATAAGCAAACAGAACAAAGCTGGAGCACCACATTACTTTTGCCAGTAAAAAGTAGGCAAAGGACATGAACAGACACTTCTCTAAAAAAAAAGAAAGGAAAAAGAAAAAAAGGAAAAAACATCCAAGGAGGCAAAATGATGAGAAAATGCTCAACATCACTAACTATCTGAAAAATGCAAATTAAAAACACAATTAGAAGCCCTCTCACAGCAGTCAGAATGGCTACTATTAAAAAGAAAAAACATAGTAATAGATGCTGGTGAGACTGCAGAGAAAAGGGATCGCTTATAAACTGTCGATGGAATGCAAATTAGTTCAGCCACTCTGGGTAGCAGTTTAGAAATTTGTCAAATAACTTAAAACTATCATCCAACTAAGCAATAATATTACTAATACTGGCTATATACTCAAAATAAAATAAATATTTCTTTTTATAAGACACATGCACTCATATAGTCACTGCAGCACTATTCACAATAGCAAAGACATGGAATCAAGCTAGTTGCTCATCAACAGTGAATTCAATTAAAACCATGTGGTACATATACTCCATGGAACATTACACAGACATAAAAAGGAATAAAATTATTTGAAGCAACATGGATGATACTGGAGATCATCATCCTAAGTCAATTAATGTAGAAACAGAAAACCAAATACTGCATGTTTGCATAAGTGGGAGCTAAATATTGGGTATTTAAAGATGTAAAGGTAAGAAAAATAGATAATGTGGAGTAATAGAGTAGAAGAAGTAGGATGGAAGCAAGGGCTGCAAAAATTACTAGTGGGTACTGTGCTTACTATCTGAGTGACAGGGTCCCTCATATGCCAAACTTGAGCATGACATAATACACTCCTGTAACAAACCTGCAAAGATATATGTTATTATATCATATATGAATATGATAATTAAATATATTATATATACTCTACATATAATATGTGTGATATAACTACTCTCTGTATGCTACATATTATATATAGTATTGTTGACATATAATGTTATATTTCATATATTATATATATTTAATATATGACAAATAGATATAAGATATACATATATCACATGCATATGTATGTGTGTAATGTATGTGTGTAGAGATATATATCTATTATACCTATATATTGAATATGTGTGTAATAATGTGTAATGTGTACATACTTAATATATGTGATATATGTAATATATTTTCTCAAAATATATAATATAAGAAATGTAATATTATATGTACTCTGTATAAATATGTGAACTAAATATACATATTATATATAAATATATGAACTAAATATACATATTATATGTACTATATATAAAGTATATGTACTAAATATATGTAAAATATACAAAATAAAAAATTTAATATATGTACTATTTATAATTATATTACATAACTATAAATAAATGTAATTATAATTATACATTATATATTATATATGCATATAATATATACATAAATAATTATGAAATAATTATAATTATATAAAATAATTATAAATGTATAAATTATGTGTGCACATATAATATATACATATAATTCATACAATTATATAAAATATGATTATATACACACATATATTTATAATAGTTACATTTTATATGTAATCATGTATATATAACATATACACACATAATTACAATTCAATTATACAATTATATAATTACTTAGATAATTATGTAAATAATAATTATGTAATTATATATAATATATGCACATACATAATATATATAACTATAGTTGTAGTTACATAATTTTCCAATTATAACTATATAATTATAAGTGTATATATAACATATTTATTATATATTACACATGTCATGTATAATGTATGAAACTATACTATATATCATTTATTAGACACATCTATTACATGTGTGTACACAGTACACATTATTATATATTTAAGTAATAACACATTATTATGTAAATAAATAATTAAATGTGTACATATAATATATGTACTCTATCTAATATACTTGTAAAATTATATTATTGTATTATATGTAAAATAAGATATATATTACATTTACATATAATTATTATATTTAATTATGTTACAATTACATATAATAGATTTGTGTATATATTATATGCACACACATAATTTTAACTTTTACTTTTATTTTATGTATATGCTATGTATGAATATACCCTTATGTATATACTATATACATGTTATACACTTATGTATATGTATATTATGTGTACAAATATGTGTGTAATATATGCATTTTTCTTATAGAATATGTATATACACATATATAATAAATGTATTATGTACTTCTCATAGTTATAACATATAGATACATACACGAATGCTAGCAAAAACTACAAATTAAATCCAAAGAAAATGGAAGAAAATAAAAGGAAGCATAGAAACTATAAAGTTAGATAATAAATTATTTTAATCATAATAATTACATTAAATAAAATTTAGAAAATTCAGTAGAAACAGAGGGAAAATATCCATAAACTCAAAATAGATGTCACTAAATTGGTAATTTTAATAAACTGACCATTTAAGGAATTTCCAATATGGCTGTTTGTGTGATTTCATGCTTTGTTGTTTTACCTTCTTTTGAAAACTTACCTGGTTAGGTTAACCCCCCTCAGGAAAATATAAGTTATGATTAACTCACAGCCATTTTATTAATAATTTGATCACAGCAGGTCCTTCCCACTGTATGCACATATTCTGTGCACATTCAAGAGAAGATTATGCAGGTCAGTTATGACTGGACGCAGAAATTTGGGGAATACCTTAGAATCTTCCCTGCCAGGGCAATGAAATATAGATTTTACTTAGCATAATTAGTTTTTGTAGCTATTTTGTATCTAATTTCCAGAACATACACTGATTTTTTTAGAAAAAATTTCAAGTATGCTTGATGAACTAAAAGAAATGTGCTAGTATTTTAGGTGTATCCCAATTGTGTTAACCCTTTCAGCCCAGAAGCCCCATTCACCCTCTCTTCTAGTAATAACCACTAGAGAAATCACTCTTTTCATTTCTGACAACAGAGATTATTTTTCTCAGGTGATTTGAAAGTTCTAGATTTAATATTTTCTAATTTTACTTTTGCATCATCTTTCCTTCTTTTAAACCGTTCCAAAATTGACTCCTCAAAATATGTATTCCTGAGAACAGCAGACTGATTCTTAGAATTACAAGTAAAGCAATTTTATTTACAAGTAAAAGTACTACTATCTTCTTTATCACCATCCATTACCTCAGCAAATTTGATGGTAAATTCATTTTGTAATGCACGTTATTTGTTTTTCAGTTTCCATCTGCATATCACTTAACATGATTGGCCTTAATTTTATATTTTCACATTTTGTCTTAGGCCACACATAAAATATACTAACATGAATGTTAGCTCTTGGACTGAAAAACAAAATTTGCAAAAAAATCTCATAATGTTTTAAGAAAGTTTATGAATTTGTGTTGAACCACATTCACAGTTGCTCTAGGCCGTCTGTGGTCCGTGGGCCGTGGACTGGACAAATCTGTGATGGTGGCCTCGGCCCATCTGGAGCTACCACTGTGGGGATGCAAGCTGCAGTGGGGGAAGCGTTGCTGGGGCTGCATGCTCCGTGGACCGGCAGAGGCCAGTAACAAGTTATCCCGGGGGGTGCCGCACTCACAGGCACAGCTGCAGCTGTCCAGCCATGGCTCTGGACCTGGGCATCCCTGCATTCTCAGGGACTTGGGATGACCCCTGCCTCCACAGATTGAGAAGTGCCCACTCCCTGGCCTGTCCCTGCTCCCAGCACCCACTCCTGTGTGGAGCAAAGTCAGAGCTCAGGCGATGTCACGACCCAGAGAGGTATGCATGCACTTGGGGCGGTGCTGACATGCCAGCCCCTGCCCCCTCCCCCCACCCACCACCACCACCTTGGCCCTCTCTATCACTTTGGGTAATGATGAGCTCAGGGATGGAAGTTGGGGTGCTGATCGGTATGGGCCTGCAGGTGCCCCTCACCATGGACTGCCTGGGCACTCACAGCCTGCATGTTGATGACACTGGAAGGCAACAGGTTCCTAGGCGGGAAGGGGCAGGACCCTGGTGAAACCACACCTTTAAGCCAGAGAGGGCTTGAAGCCTGGGGGCTACACTTCCATTGGAAGGCATAATTGGATGGTGCTTTTTCCAGGCCTGCCCAAGGCCACCCACGGACCAATTAGCATGCACTTCCTCCATTGTGACTGCATGAAAACCACAGACTGCGTCAGACTCAGACACTGGTCAGGATGACCTATCTACAGAAAGGAGTTACCCACTCTGGATCTTCTGAGAGCTGTTCTGTTAGTCAACCAGGCTCTTCTGTGCCTTGCTCTTTCTCCAGTTGTCCACGTAACCTCGTTCTTCCTGTGAACGGGACAAGACCTCAGGACCCACCGAACAGTGGGAGCTAAAGGAGCTGTAACAGATTCCTGACCAGCTTGCCGAGTTGAAAGCACTGACACACTCCTGGACTGTGGGAGTGAAGAGTGGTGACCCTTCTGGGGGCCCAAACCTCAGGATTCCCCAAGCCAGAGCTGCTGTTAACACAGTTACAGCTCTGCTTCTGCCCTCTGCCGGCGCCAGGCGGACACCCGTCAAGACAGGAAGCAGCAGCGGGGCTGGACCAGTCCCAGGGGCTGTGGGCCAGAGAGGGGTGGTGGGACTAAAAGAGCTATAACAGGCCGGGCGCGGTGGCTCTCAACTGTAATCCCAGCACTTTGGGAGGCCGAGGCGGGCGGATCACAAGGTCAGGAGATCGAGACCATCCTGGTGAACACGGTGAAACACCGTGTCTACTAAAAAAAATACAAAAAAATAAAAATAAAAATAAAAACTAGCCGGGTGTGGTGGTGGGAGCCTGTAGTCCCAGCTTCTAGGGAGGCTGAGGCAGGAGAATGGCGTTAATCCGGGAGGCGGTGGAGCTTGCAGTGAGCGGAGATCGCGCCACTGCGCTCCAGCCTGGGCTACAGAGCGAGACTTCGTCTCAAAAAGAAAAAAAAAAAAAAAGCTATAACAAAAAATGAACTGAAGCACACCCCCGTCCTCCACCTAGCCAGATTGCCATGACAAGAAAGAGAGAATAGTTGTGGCCCTTTTAGGAGTCCAGACCTTGGGTCTCCCTGAGTCCTGTGACATGCTGGAACTCCGTCTTTGGGGCTTTGTAGTTTCTGGCATCTCTAAATTTTCAGGCACCACCATGTTCCCCTCTTCCAGACACTAGTGCCCGCAGCAGAAACTACTTGCAGTACATCTGGTCCAGTCGCAGTCTCACATGGAGCTGGTGACTCTGATGGCAACTAGAACAGCTGCCCTGCTGCAGCAGTCGAAATACCTTGCTGTGTGCAGTGGGCAGACCCCACCCTTGCTCGCTACACACCCTTCACCGTTCCTCACCTGGCTTGCTCTTGGCAGGCGTGGGATCCAGGCTGGTAGTGAGAGCTGAGCACAGGCTGCCAAAGCTAGTGGGTGGAACGAACACAGCAAGTGTGAGCTAAACTCAAGACAAGGTGCATGCTACCAGCCACAGAGGTTTCTAACTGGAGAAACCACAGCCTAAGGATCCTGTGACCCTTGTTCTAGATTGACTGAGGCCTCTATTTCAGCAATATCAAGACTCAACCTCTCACTATTTTCTTTACTTCTTCACAGAAATTATTACTAAGAGCACTGCCCAATAAACTTTATGTGAATAAATCTCTATCTCAGACTTTTCCAGAGGACTTCAATCTGGCACAAACCCTAATCCATCAGCTCCTTTTCCTTATTATTGCACCTGCATTCCACAGATTGGTGTTATTCCTGACAACCAGCATTTCACTCTCTACTTTTCACTGCACCAATTGTCATTAGCAGTCACTAATAAATTGGAAAGGGATACAAGAAGTTTTTGTTTGTGTGACAAGAAATCGCTCACTTTCAACAGATGATCCCCCTTCAAGGAAATAGAAGAGTCACTGTGAAACAACCTTTTTTATTTTATTTTTAACTTAATTATGTAATGGGCATCCAACTGTTAAATCTAGTTGCATGAAGCCAAACTTGTCCAAGAAATGATGTCTGCATCCTACCTGTGTCTTTAAACCAAATGGGACCTAGAGATTGGTTAATTAAATACAAATTAGAGTAATTTTTTAAATCATCAAAAAATATGAAAAGATCTATTTCATACTTATGTAATTTTCAAGCAGAGTGAGAACATACTAAATCATATTTAAGATCAAATAATTTATATAGAATTTCCCCCCTTTCCTCTTCTGATTTATATCTTTCATCTGATACCCACAGAAATCATGAAATTTAAATCGTCTTATCAAAATTGGTTATGAGTTCCACTATTACATATAACTGATTTATAAATATGGAAAATATTTTTAAAAGTCATAAGATTAAAATAATATCGATATATTTAATAAAGACTAGTACAATGGAGATAGTTTACTATACTAAGGATGTTCCTTCTAGAAGTTTCTCTGAAACTTAAGGTCACCACACATATCACAAGTGGTAAAGGTTGTACAAAGGGAACTATCAAAATGTTGATAAAATTAAGCACAAAAGTTGTACAAATTGTAAGATGATTCTGAGATAATCTTTTTTTTTTTTTTTTTTTTTTTTTTTTTTGAGACGGAGTCTCGCTTTGTCGCCAGGCTGGAGTGCAGTGGCCGGATCTCAGCTCACTGCAAGCTCCGCCTCCCGGGTTTACGCCATTCTCCTGCCTCAGCCTAGACTGATGAAATTTTAAGAGAAAAATATGGGAATTTTGAATTAGGTTGGAGGCCATTGATCGAGGAAAGGGGTTGCCAATCCATAAGGCATAAAATGGAAGGCCCAGTTGCCAATATGAGTTTTGTCTGTGTGTGTGTGTGTGTGTGTGTGTGTGTGTGTGTGTGTGTCCCTACAGGAAGGCATGAAAGACATAAATAATAAAAATGAGTTAACTAGAATGGTTTGTTGGTTTGCATAGTTAAGAAACAAACATGATTCTGAATTAAAGAAAATTCTTAGATGCCATACAAAGGGGTTTAACAGATCACAGAGGGCTCTATAAAATAACAGTATTTTTAAAACCAGTTAAAGCAGAAACACAAGCTCAAAATAGAGCCAATCAAAGATACCTGGGGTAACTGGACCTTAAGATAAGGAATTGAAGCCTTTATATCTGGGGAGTGAGTATCCAGGACATGACACAAAGATGAAAGAGGATAGGACAAGGTGGCTTATGCCTGTAATCCTAGCACTTTGGGAGGCAAATTTGGGTGTATCACTTAAGGTCAGGGGTTCGAGACCAGCCTGACCAACACGGTGAAACCCCATCTCTACTAAAAATACAAAATTAGCTGGGTGTGGAGGCTCATCCTTTTAATCCCAGCTACTTGGACGGTTGAGGCAGGAGAATTGCTTGAACCTGGGAGGAAGAGGTTGCAGTGAACCGAGATCACACCATTCATTGCACTCCTGTCTGGGCAACAAGAGCAAAACTCCATCCCCAAAACAAAATAAAACAAAACAACAACAACAAAATAAAATAAAACCAACAAAATAAAACAAAACAACAACAACAACAAAAGATGAAAGAGAAAAGTTTAAGAAAAGAGGAGGTGTGAGAGCAATAGAAAACTGGCTTTTCTTTCATGACTATTAAATATGTGTGGTTGAGAGAAAAATGAAGCACAAGTATTTTGAGGGGAGCTTTGAATACATAACTAGAAAAGCAAAAAATTAGACCTCTGCTTGTCAAAGTAAGAGTTGTCACCACAAAGGTGATATTTGAAGTCACAAACGTAAATGAGCAATTTGGGAGAAGAACTATTCAATGAAAAGAATGGAGCCTTGAGCTTATTCCATGGGCAACATTCTCAGAGAAAAAAGTCACACACTACTCAACAGAAACTTGCTTAGTACTGAGAAAACTGTGCCATAGCGAACTGCCCCAAGAGTCTGCACTAAAGAAAATAAATGGTTTGAACACTTTTACTACTTGCCTGGCATTTGTTATTAATTGCAGTGACTGAGTGAGTGACTATTTGTGCAGCTGCTATAAAGTGAACTAAATTTCAGAAATAAAAAATATATAGCATTCATTGAGTCAAAAGTAAGGTTGATGATTAAATGAAATACATAGAAAGGCATCAGTTTTAAATTGCACTTTAACTTCTTCTGGGGTTGAAAATATTTTTTATACTTGCAGCAAAATCCATTCAACTATATTTATAACACAAGAGAACAGAACTAGACAAACATAATTCAAACTAGCAGAGTCTGGAAACTTTCTATAATATTTGATAAATTCCTAGAACTTGATTAAGGACATCTATCAGAATGCAGAAATGGTTAAATTTTCTTTTTGGTTTGTTTTAATAAATAATATTGGTGCCTCTTTAAATGAAAAACATCAGTCCAACTATTAAAACTATAATCATAAATAGTTCAAGTTACATAATAAATATATAAACAGACTCTTTTTTAGATTGAATCATGCACATGACAAAAAAAATTAGACAAATGTGATCAATTTGTTGTTTTTGAAGGAAACATACCAGCAACCTAGCTTAATATTAATGAAAAATTGAATATTATTATATCATTATATAAAGATTTTGAAAAATCCTCATAAGTGCATGTGGAGATTCACCCTGCCACAATTTCAAATAGGCAAATAGAAAAACAGTGAAGAATCATTTACATAATGGACAAATGTAAATTCATTCTAGTTGTAGAGAGAAGCTCCCTGCTGCCTTGATTATATTATGCTTTCCTGCTGCTACATGAACTCACAAAAAACTGAAAAAAAAAAAAATTAACATTGTGCCATTATGAGTTCAAAGCAAAGAAACAGCAGTGCAATGTTCCATTGATTTCTTCACTCTAAAAATCTCAGCTCATGAATTACCCTTGCTACAGATATTTGACACATAAAATCATCTGCTTGAAAGATAAACTATGTCAAATGGCATATATGAGAATCCAGCTTTAACTGCTAACTTTAAAGAATTTAAGATAAAGGAAATTACATTTTATTGTGGTTGCTCCTGATTGTTTGTTCAATGAGTTGTCACAGAATCCAATTTCCACATTAGCCATTTTCTGTGTAAAGAATTGATTCTCTTGTTTCATTTATAGTGAAGTGATAGTTCTACAGCCTTCTTGA